TACATGATCAGTGTCTAATATCACATATGGGTTTTCGTGCATGAAATAGTCCATGCTTAAACAAGCATCAGTGATTTCTAGCTTTGTGGAAACCTTTTTTATCAAATTACCCGGTCCTGCATTTCAGTGTTAACTTTAACAAGCCATTCGGCGTGAAGTGGTTTTATCTTAGACAACTTTAGGTTAACCTTAACATCACGTGGAGCTTTCCTAGCACTGTTTCATTACCTCCCCTCAGCAATATGAACTATAACAACGTCGGACAATGTCCTTGGCAACACGATTTACCGTAATATCTAGAGGCTGGTACAGGTTTGTCATGTTGGCGGGGACTAGCTCATGAACTATGTTGTTGAGTGCTATGATTTCGTTGACTTTTTCCGCCAAGTGACCTTTGAAAACATCATATACTAGTAGAGTTTTCTGTGCATCCGGCAGACCAAGGAAAACCTTTCCGTCGTTAACTTACGTCACAATAAAGTTCTCATAGTTGTCATATTCTGGGTAAAAAGTTCGAAATGGAAAAATTTTTGAAAAAATTTCAACGGACTTTAACTTGGACGGACATTAATTGAACGGACTTTATTTGAACGGACATTAAGATGAACGCTAGGGCCTCCAGATCCAGCGTTCAAGTAATGTCCGTCCAAATAAGGTCCGATAAGGTAGGCAGTGTATCGTAAACCCTCGTCAACGTTACTCTTGACATCTTGCTCCTTCATTAAATTAAAAATTAAAATTTTAAATTTGGACACGAGTCTCGAAACACCCTGTAGAGGAGGAGGACTGAGGACTGAGAAGGAGAAGGAGGAGGAGGAAGAGGAGGAGGAGGAAGACTGAGGAGGAAGATGACTGAAGAGGAAGAGGAGGACTCAGGAGGAGGGAGGACTCAGGAGGGGGAGGAGGACTCAGGAGGAGGGGGATGAGATGGAGGAGGAGGAGGAGTATGACGACTCAGGAGAACTGAGGAGGAGGAGGAGAACTGAGGAGGAGAACTGAGGAGGAGGAGGACTGAGGAAGAGGAGGAGGAGGAGGAGGAGGAGGAGGAGGAGGAGGAGGAGGAGGAGGAGGAGGAGGAGGAGGAGGAGGAGGAGGAGGAGGAGGAGGAGGAGGAGGAGGAGGAGGAGGAGGAGGAGGAGGAGGAGGAGGAGGAGGAGGAGGATTCAGGAGGAGGAGGATTCAGGAGGAGGAGGATTCAGGAGGATTCAGGAGGAGGAGGAGGAGGAGAAGGAGGATGAGGAGGTCGACTCAGGAGGACCCAGGAGGAGGAGAACTGAGGAGGAGGAGAACTGAGGAGGAGGAGGACTCAGGAGGAGGAGAAGGGGAGGAGTAGGGGGAGGAGGAGGAGGAGGGGGAGGACTGATGAGGAGGAGGACTCAGGAGGAGAAGGAGAAGGGGGAGGAGGAGGACGAGGCCGAGGAGGACTCAGGAGGAGGAGGAGGACTCAGGAGGAGGAGGAGGAGGAGGACTCAGGAGGAGGAGGAGCAGAAGAACTGAGGAGGAGGAGGAGGACTGAGGAGGATGAGGAGAAGGGGGAGGAGGAGGAGGAGGAGGAGGAGGAAGCATCTAAATGTTATTTCCATAACATTTTTTGACCGCCCTACTTTTTGTCCGTTTTGAAAATATAGGGTACTGAACGGACAAAAACGGACAAAAACGGACAAAAACGGACACAAAACATGAACATGAGCTCCTCCCCCCCCCCCCCTCCCCCTTCCCCCCCCCCCTCCCCCCCCCCCCCCCCCCCCCCCCCCCCCCCCCCCCCCCCCCCCCCCCTCCCCCCCCCCCCCCCCCCCCCCCCCCCCCCCCCCCCCCCCCCCCCCCCCCCCCCCCCCCCCCCCCCCCCCCCCCCCCCCCCCCCCCCCCCCCCCCCCCCCCCCCCCCCCCCCCCCCCCCCCCCCCCCCCCCCCCCCCCCCCCCCCCCCCCCCCCCCCCCCCCCCCCCCCCCCCCCCCCCCCCCCCCCCCTCCCCCAACAAAAATCAATTTGGAAGCCGAACCAAACGATATAAAAATGGAAGTACTTGGACGATTACATATGCTAAATAGTGTGTTTACACAGTACTGAGAGGACAGTCCCTTCGAGGATAGGAACGTTCTACGTAACGCATCACTTTCTTAATTTAGCTGTAGCGTGGCGTAGGAAGTAGATAGGGATTCCAAACTTTCACAGAGCGATTACATATTGACATAGCGCAATACAAGCATGCCTTAGATACATAGTACAAGGTAGCATTACGTCATCCTTTAATATACATCAGGTTTTAGGTAATTATGCTCCCTTAGACTCGTTTTCCATTCCAGTCGTGTCACTTGTCGATGACAATACCAATTTCATTATTTTGTCGCCTGATAAATACCTTTTGCTTTAAAACAACCATAATCGGTTGTCACAATTCAATAAGCACGTGCACCTTAAATTTATGACGTCAATTTTGTCTGGTAACGAATGAACAAATCATATACGAATATTTGGATAATTGGATCACAATTCAAAGATTTAACACATGTCAACATGAAAAATATTCTGATAGAAGGTTAGTTTAACACATAGCACCTCCTGAACAATTATCTGAAAATCAACATACCCATCTCGATTGAACATGTACTTAACTTATAATCAATGATCAGTCAATTAAATGACCGATGAGTCAGTCGAAAAAATAAAAACAAAAAATAAAACAAATTAAGGTCAGAAAGGGGCGTTCAGTGATACTTTACCACTCAATATTTATTGTAGAACCCCCTCTGTCCTTAATGAATAACAAGTCAGCTAGCAGTAACGTAACAGCGGTATTTAAGTATTTGTTCATTCCATCCTGGGTTAAAGAATGGGAACCTTATCTCGGGCTCCTTAAAAAATGAAACCATGTACATAATCAATGAAACAACAAACCATGCGATTGAGGTTTCACTGTAACATATAAAATATTAAAATATCTGGAAATAATTAAAATTCTCATCCACCCTTCATTTGACACAAATGCAATTTATGTCCAACATTCTTTTTTGATTTCCGTGAATGAAATGTTGCAGCCTTTTTATTTTTCCTTTTACCCCACGTTTTAACGAGAACGGGACCCAAACTTTGCCTTTGCTCTCAGGGCTTTATTATAATAGCTGGTGTAGCTAGCTGAATATAGGACACTGGTAACAATGGTATGTACCAGTATTATCATGACAGTGTTCACCGGGCAGTTCAGCTTCAAGATGCCCGTCACCACGTACACTACTGTCCAAGCCAGGGTAAACAACACAAACTCTGTCACACAACCGGTTATTGTCTTCAATATGACGTCAAACTGTTTTCTAACACATTTTTCTGACTTGCTGGCGGGTGCTCTCGGTGAGGCTTCGCTAGCCCCGGAGCGAGGGGTGATGTTGAGGAAGAGGGTGCTGATGGGTGAGGAGGATATCTCGTCTCCGCCAGAGTAGCTGATGCAGCAAGAGGGGGACCGTCTTGCTTCCTCTGTTTGTAATCTGTCTATCTGGGGTGGGGAGATTTGTTATTCTACTGATTTACTTTTAACTTGCTTCAGGCTCTAATAGTAATGTAAACAGTTTTTTTGAAAATTATGCATGCACACACACACACAGTTGCACAGAAATGTATCGCTGTTAAATTCGTCTGAAATCTTACTCGGCATCTATTTAAATTTCACTCCACCACCGTCAGCTGATGCCATGCACACGGACACATAATTTTCAAAAGCTTCTGAAATAAGATCGCTATCTTACCAATCATATTAGAGACATTAAAACAAACGCAAAAAATAATATAAGAATATACGGCGCATACGCTTCCAAACTGCCATGCAATCTCATAACGGGCCTTTGTTCTCACCTCGAACGTAAGCTCTTTAGTGCTCTTTGCTGGTCTGATCTCCATATCGTGGTTGCTACCGTTTTTAGAAAGACTTGACCTCAAGCTCAATGGAGCTGTTGTATATTGGGCGCACCTCGGGCTCTTGGTATTGCGACCTGTTATCACACTGAAATACAACTTGTTAGTTCAACAGTTGATATAGTTGATAGTTGATAGTTTTCATGAGGTTAAAACATCGTTCAAGTTAAAATAGCAATCGATGATGGTTTGGCGATGAAAAGATGAAATTGCTAGAATATAACGTCATTTCTTTACTGACTCTTAACCATTAGCTGTCTCATTGCTTACAGTATTTAAATAAATATCAGGCATATATATTGTACTGGTTGTCTTTCTCTGTTCTGTACTATGATGTAATAGGGCATTACATCATGCAATTAAGATTTATAGTACAGAATACAGATGGACGATAAAATAGATACATTGATACAAATAGTTGAATAGAAAGTTACATAGACTTGGTATGACTATTTGTCTAATAACAAGCATGCTTAACATAAACTATTTGACTGACATTTAATGTATTTTTCAAACTGTAATTATCAACACGATCCAATATATCCAATATATCGGTATCCACTGATCATTCATTTCTTTAGCATAACAATTATTCATGACAACAACCAATCGTGAATCGATTCCTCGGGAATTCAATTTATTCACAGATATCTAGCAACATAAAACTATCATCATGCAGCATGCCATGCTACATCTTTCTCATCCCTGGATGACATTGTTTAACTACCTCTCCTGTTCAGAACCCAAAGCTGTCCCCTCGCTATCCCTATCATGTTTCTGATTATTTCGCAAGCTACCATTTGAGGATAAATCAGAGATTCTTCTGTATTGTCCGGAGACTCTACGTTTGAGTGATCCAGTGGAATCTTCCAAATTAAGTGCGAACTCACCCCAGGCTAAAGAGAACCTTCTCCTATGGCTTGATAAAGACTCATTTATTTGAGATTATCAAAGGGTGATCTTATTCAGGCATGCTTGAAAGGCCGTGTTTTCAGAAGATAAAACAATATGTTAAAAATCAGCAGAAATCCCAGCAGTGAAAATAATTCAATAGAATTCTCACCTCCAAGCATTATCAGTTAGTTTGGAGAAGTTGTAACCGCCGTTGGAATCTTGGGAAGGTTTCCCGTTAATAGTTGATCCTCCGTTACTATTACCACTTCTACTACTCTCCATGGTCTGTCTTCGTGTTTCCATCTTCTCAGTAAAAACTGACAATCTACGAACTGAGGGGAGACACTCTGTTAACCAACTGTGGTTGAGGGATGGGGGATGTAATGACGGCGAAAAACTGATCGTCGTAGTCTGAGTCAATACTCAGTTCGAAATATCTTTGTTCGAAATATCTCCGCCGTTATTAGAGTGGTATTATTGACTTCATGAAAATGTTTTAAAACCATTACACAGTTATGAATTCTGAAGTTGGGATTATATAGTTGGGCCCTCTTAGTTCAGCCTCACTTAGTCCACTGCCCACGTGCATACGTCATGATTTAAACAGTTGGGCCCTCTTAGTTCAGCCTCACCTAGTCTAGTGCCCACGTGCATACGTCATGATTTAAACAGGAGCTGGGGGTTGTAGATGCAAAAAAACAACCAAAATAAGTATAATTACCCAGATATCTCATGATGAATCCGTTCAGGGACACTGCCACAGCAGCAGGAAATATATAGGATACTAGGTACCAAGCGTGAAACAATACTTTGTTATCAGTTGGTAAACAGAAGTTTAACTCATTGATGTATTCGTATCCTGCGGGTAGTTGTTTTAAATCAATTATATTTATAATAATCACCTCATCAAGGTTGAGGTTCAATAGATTCGTTGGGTTGCATCGTATAATTGATTATGATATGTAATAATAATAATTGTAATTAGTTATTAGTATGATTAATATTAATTGTAATTAGTTACTAGTATTATAAATAATAATTGTAATTAGTTAATAGTTACTAGTATGATTAATATTAATTGTAATTAGTTACTAGTATTATTAATATTAATTTTAGATAGATCGTACAACTCACTCATATCGCTTTTCGTTCCCGCAACCTGTGGCATGATAAAACTCCACGCCATAAAAACTATCTGAAGTCCAATAACTTTACCTGAAATAAATAACTATGATTTGTCTTTCAATTAGAAAGAATTATACAATATTAAAACTTGGGTTTGTAATCTCAAATTAAAGGCCTTATCCGTGACTAAGCTGCTTGGGTTACGGTTACATGGCTTCTGCTGTAATAAAAGCACCATTCACTTATCCACGTGATGGCACTTGATGTGATGGTATTTCAACTTTTTTAAAGCTAGAGTGTAAGACCTGCCGCGGTGTTCTGACAGAAAAATCACATACGCGAGCAGTTGTAATTAATCATGTATAATGAAATGGGCCTTAAATCAGAAGTTCAGCTCCAGCTTGATATAAGAAAATACCAGGTTTATCTTACAACTATTTCACGTGCGAAGAGGGTTTACGTCAGTGCTCGTATAATAGCTGTCATTATGCACGTGCAACTTGTCATTATGCACGTGGAACTTGAAGTCAGGTTTCAGCTCGATCATCATGCCAGGTTATAATATTTACGGAACAAGTGCTTGGGCGACTAAATATCACAAAAACCAACTAAATCACTCAGTAATGGGTAAAATTTAATGCAAATAAAGAGGATATAGATAATTAGTTAATTAATTAAAATATGTAATTACCTGCTTTCATAAGCTGAACGTATCTGAATGGGTTCATAACAGCTAGGAATCTGTCTATACTGATGAGAAGTATTGAGCAGACGTTAACACTGCAACTTATCCAACTTAAATAGCTTATCAGTATACACCACAACTGAGGGAAATCTGTGTTATTATCATTTATTATTACTAATGTTAGCTTTATTAAGACAGTAGTGTTAATAATGTTATGCAAATCTTTCAAAATCTGTATAAGTTTTGACTTTAAGATTAATTTTGGAAATTTTTGTTTCCGATGCAATATAAGAATATAATAAATGGATTTTTTAGCTAAAGCCTGAATACATTTTAAAATATTATGAGGTATGTGGGAGAGATTTTCCAAATCACCAAGTCTTACCTCGTTATAAACTTCAAGTTGGGTTGCCCAGTAGCGAATAACTGGAGCTAGTAACATAGCACAGTTACTGGAAAGGAGAGTGATATACATCATCTTGAATACTCCTTTCTTTCTTTTTGCTGATTTTCCGGATTTCTGCTAAAAAGTTCTGTTAATCAATTGTCTTTACAGTTACAGAAAATGTTATCGATAGATATTTAATGTAGCGGGATTTTCATTGAAATATTTGAATAATTTTTATTGTGCGTCACCAATAATATTTTCATTGGTGACTCACCAATAATAAATTAAAGACCAAATCAAGATAAAATAAATAAAGGCCATATTGCCTTTATATAAGTGTCTATATAAGCAAATTTAGTATAAAGTTATCGACAAAAATCCATACCTGAACACAAAGAGTAATGGTAAGAAAACTGATATTGATGAGCATTGCAAGGATCCCAAAAGCGAAGTAGATGTAGATCTCAATGGACATACTCGTATATAATGTCGTTCATTACTAGAATAATGTGAGATGTTATAATTTACTATGGTGATAATATAAGAAAATTTAAACTAAATTATCACATAATCTTTGTTATGTAAGGAATATTAGTATTAGTTATGCATTTCAATTTTCATAGATTATAAATAACAGCAGAACAGCATATTATGTAATAGATCTTATGGTACCAGCTACTGATCATTTGTTACTCAAAACCCAGTCCTTTACCCTTTTAATCAACTTGTAATAATTAAAGAACTGGTAATAACATAAAATAATAACATAAAATAACAAGCATTATTAATCTATTAAACAGTTTTGAGCTAGTCATACTACTACTACTACTACTACTAGTACTAATGGTGTGCCGGTTCCTGCAGTAGACGGAATTCCAACAGCTCCAATTCTGAATTGAATGCTAGTCGGAATTCCTTGCAGAGTCGGAATAGTGTGCCATTCCCCTACATCTAGTGACTGATACCAGAATAAGGCCATGATAACAAAACGAATAAGATGATAATTAGTCTATACTAAGTCGAAATTGTGTAAATTCTTAAATACGATCAGCCAATCTTCAGTGAGGCATAAACTGACAATTCTTATAACGCTCAGGTAGGGTTAGCAGCACTTATATACTTGTAGTTATTTACATAACATTAAGCACATTAATTAAGTATCTGATTGTGAGCACTGGTACTGTTAGTACGTCATAAAACGTAATTACCTCCTTGAGTAAGGTATCAAAGTAACGTACAGAGATAGGTGTTAATTAACTGGAAGATAGCTGAAAATGTGGGCAAATTAAGGAATCACCTGCGAATACATGGTAACCGGAGTGAAGCCTTATTGGAGGCTGTTATACTACTAAGTACTAATTGGTACTACTTACTTACTACCAGATACAGTTGTCAGCTGTGGTCCATTAGCGATCCCTGCCAAGTTAACCTAAAGTACATTATCTTAACCGCACGGCTACCCCGGTGGGATAGGTAATATCTCCAACTAGACCAACAGTTGCTGTTCCTCTACTTAAGATTGTATGTACTAAACAGAAAGACAAATAAATGGTATAAATTGCTAGTCTATAAAATATAAATAACCTATCAATTTGCACCTTTCTCAATTTCTCATCAGGGTTGGAATCTTTCTTGAGTTATGCTATTTTTGCTGTTGTAAACAATCGTGGTTTAGACTTTATATTATTACTTATTATTAAGTTCAACTTTGATAATGCAGACTGCACGTGCTAATAAGTGACCTGACGAATATTTGTATATACGACTATACGAGAAGATGCTAAAAATGCTAAACGTGCTAAAAATGTTAAAAGTGTTAAAAATGCATTAAAAGGGTGACATTACAGAGTTACACTTCCAGGCTTTACAGCTCGTTTCTCTCAACTAACTTCTGATGATAATAGCAGAAGTAATGATAACAGGGGACCTAAAGTGTTGGGGCCTTTCGCAATAACTATCTCCAGCCAACTGTCACTTACAAGTTACAACTTATATACTAGTACCGTTATTTTGACAGAAACTATTGACAATCTGCGCGCGTCTGTTGGTCACGTGTCTCATTGGTAAACCCACGTGACTTGCTAAGATTTCATTTCTGAGCACTATTAGAGTAATATTTATAATATTTTCGGGGTAACGTTGTGCAATGTTAAATCAAATGTGACAACTTAAAGTTAAATAACAGACAGGAGGGACGAGAAAGTTATCAATACGTTTTCATTTTCATGACAAATACTGATTCTGGACCACCCTTTAATGTTCCATGCACCGCTACAGAAGATGTCACTGTAATTATTAAAGCCCTATTAAAGCCTTATTAGATATCACCCGGGAGCCCTGAGGAAATTAGGAGATCAGGCTGGTATGAGGAAAGATTGATTCATTAAGCATAACGGTGTAATTTACAGCGTAAAAAGTACACTGTAAAAAGTACGTGACCGTTACATAACTAATAGGAATGGGAAGAACCGTTCCTCAATGAAAATACAAAATAAAGTAACGCACTACCACAGCCACCTTTATAGGCTTTACGTTGATATTTCAGAGAATTTTACAATTTGTTCATTCTTTGAACTCTGACAGGTTGTAAGGTGGCTTCAAATAATTTCATTCCGAGACTTTATCGATATTTCAATATATTATAGGGATACTAGCAAGCCCGTGGTCACAGGGAGGAAGGTAATAGTATCCTTTGATAGTAGGTTTTTATCGCATCAAAAAATATCCGTCACAACCGAAGATACAGCCGATTAAAATGTAGTTCGCACTAAACACAACGCAATTACGTCAAAACCGATCAAAATGTCGCTTGCAAATCTTTGCACGTGCATGTGCACGTTTCAACACCGTTACTATGGTTACTATGCAACTTCCTATTTCTCATCTGATTTGCACGTGGGAAGTCGTGCAAAAAAATTCTTTGAATTATGATATAAAATAGGTCACAGGGAGGGAATTTGCAGTTTTATTGCATCAAAAATATCCATCACAAGTCACAACCGAAGACACAGCCGATTAAAATTTATCTCGCACAGAATGAGTGAACACAACGTAATTACCACAAAATGGCGTTAAAACAATCATTGCACGTGCATGTGCGCGTTTCAACTTTTTCAACACTATTACCATAGTTACTATGCAACTACTTATTTCTCATCTGATTTGCACGTGGGCGGTCGTGCAAAAAGAATTCTTTGAATTATAGTATTGATATCCCAAGACAATATTATTTTCTCGTCAATTAATATTTCATATTTCGATGTTATCACTTTTCACAGTGAAATAATTAGAAATGTTGTGCATTACTAAAGAAACAATTAACCAATTATTCGATATTTGATAAGACGAATAGAAGACACACCCGGACAATTGAATAATAGCATGGAAGTTTTATTTTATTTTAAGAAAGTTACAGAGGCTTCAAGGTGTTAGTTTTCTATAATGTAAGTTACAGTGGCTTCAAAAAATAGACTTTTAAATAGTAAATGTCCTGCTAGATATAGATTCTGATTTATCAAATGATAATATGAACACGAAAAAATATTCAACAGAAGTAGAAACATGTACAGTGCACAGATACAGTCCCGTTATAAATGCAATAGAATTATTCAGTAAATATATGTGAAATCATCGTCTGAGTAACGCCTCGGATCATTTAATAAGTACGTACTAAAGGTGTCATTGTATTTTAGGAAAATTAAGTAATGATTGGACGCAACAACCGGTCACCTGATCAGTGATCATTCAACTATTTAAACTTTCATTTAATTTTAATTGACCTGATGATCTACAAGTTAGCGGTTATGTCATGATTATTTTATCTCAAATCTGGAATTTGGATTGTTGGTTACGGTTCCATAGTTATGAAAGTATTGTCTTATCCTTATACTCTTATATAATAATATATATGTATGGTGTATGGTGTAAACTGTTGACCCATTGACAAAAGCTCATTCTCTTGATACTATAATTATATAGTGATTAATGAAAAATTGCATAAATGAATTAATTATTCGCTAAACTATTACATCATCTCGCTATATAAAGAACCATTTAAGGTAACAAGTTTTATCTATTGAACTACGTTAACTGCCAATTGAGGAAGATTTAGAATACCGTCATAGCAAGCCTATAATTAAAAACTTAACAACCACGAGGGAGACAAGATATTTTAAAGTTATTTCGATCGCAGAATATTTATATCACGATTCACTTTATTAGTCTCAACTATCTGAACAGAAGGTGCTGATATAACAATAAGCAAGTATGCAAGAAAACAAAAGGAGACAGAATCACTAGGGGTAAATTTATAAAATATCACTAGAAATACTCGCTCAATCACGAACCGATAATCAACACCTGACTAGCGAAGTAGCGACTATAATTAGCAAATAGCTATAACTCACTAAACGACGTTCCAGTTTACTTTGTAATAAAATATGCAAGAGATAGAATGTTGATACATTATTAAGCTTTCGAGATATAAATATATTGTGAAGTAAGTAAGGATTTATATTTCATTCATAATGAGAATTTGAAAACTTTTGATAAATCAAAAAAAAATACGGAATAATTCCGCGGTCGCGGTAGAGTGAAATTGAAATATGATAGAATGTACAAACATTTTAAAGCTTTCTAGATAGAAATAGGTATATGGTCTTAGTAAGGATTCTTTATTGTAATGAGAATTTTGTTTAATTTTGATAAATCACAAACAACTGCGGAGTAATTCCGCGGTCGCGGTCTTTGTTAGAAGGAATGGACGTAGAAATGGCCGAAGTATAATATCAACAGAAAGGAAGACACTCTACAAAAAATGAATAATTTCAAATGATTGCTGTTTTTAAGTGTGAAAACGTCAAAATTTGATTGGATCTTCAAACGCCAATAGCTTCTCTTAATAACACGCCCAAAGATAACAATGGTGTGCCCATCACATAGACATTGGGATCAAAACAGATCAATAACAGTCACAGTCTATACTACTACACCATTGTTAGACAGCTACAGGTCAAATCATATGATACGGGGGATATCTCTCCGACTCTCTCCTTGGATTTACCCGAACATTAGTCCCGAATAAGCACGTACAGCCCTAGTTAAGTGCAATATTAGAAGTAGCAACCTACATAAACTATGTACTATAAAGTAATCAGCACTACTTCACCACGTCTTGCTGACGTCTGACACTATACTGTCCCGTCTAAATACCTCGTGCAAGGGAAGGCAGATTTACCTGATATTGGCCGGCGAGCCTTTCTGCCTTTCAGGCTTCATTGATTATCAAAAAGCTGAGGGCCTTTCGATTAAGTTTAAAGATTTTATGAAAGTTACTGATGAGGTCTTGAACTGCTTTGAGTGTCATTTAATGAAAAAGTTCAGTGCCTCACAAGTATGTCAAGAAATATTTTGTCACAACGCCAGTAACGTAAATAAATGAATAAATCAATTTGCAACATCAACCTCAGCAAGACCCGACCTGTCCATTTATATGCTCTGTTCGACA